AGATATAGCTCTACTATGTTATAACCTAGCAATTTATTCATCTATTTTGTTCAGCTTTTCAAATATTTGGTAATGGTAAAATCTTGATTGTTATTTATTTTATCTTCCCTTTTACCAGATACCGTCTGGCTGAATGATCTAGATTTAAATGGAAGAATGTATGTAGAGTTCATACACAATCAGTTGACGAACTTGCTCAAGGATGTACCACTAAAAGTCAGTCTATAGTATTATACTGGCTAGAGACTAGTTGGATGTACATTATCTACGACGTTGGCTGGGAGAAGTGGTCTTATAGTTTAGCCACTTCACTCTCCTAACTTTACTACTATTTCTGGAGCAATTTAAAAAGAATGGCATACAATACGGATATTTAATTCTCAGCCAAAGCTTATTCATAGAATGCATGTTATTACCGATATGCTAAGAGAAAATAAATTTGAAATTTGAAGAGGTTCTCAAACAATAGCACTAATATGTATTCGTAAAGACGATTCGTAATTTTAAACATTTTATTGTAGATAAAGCCAGAGCATATTCAAATAATACTGAAATCTTACATTATATGTCATCATTTTGTAGTACGTACTTAATTTATTATTTATTTTATCCATTATTATTCTACTTATTGTATTTTTTTAATGGGCTTATCCGTGAATAAATGAATAAATAAACTTTTGTTTTCACGACTAACTTAGTTTTTTGTATTATCAAAATCTTGAAATTTTTGGAAAACTACGTCTAAATTTAATATGCATGGCGTTTTTTTAAGCGATATTCCTGGAAAACTATCAATCCTATCGAAGTCAACCAAGACTATCTTTTTGTCGACGAAAAGTAAAATAAAATGTAGAAAGTAAAATTGAGTTCTTTTCTAGACGACTCTTTACTAGTTGTGGCGTTCCAGCTAGATGGATAAAGTCTTTGAACTATGTGTCACACTCAGAAAATTAATTTTATGAGAAATTCAAAATTTAATATATTTATCTGTTTCAATTTCGAAAATATCGCCAGAAAGCCATGTTCAGGCAGTTCTCTTCAAATTATACACTATTAAAATATTTACCTCTGAATTTTGAACATCTTGTATAATGATGCAGTTGGAAAACTAAATTTAATAATAATATCTAGTTTATTTTATAAAACAAACTGTTATTTTTTCCGTCTTTCTTAAATATAACAAATTAATTTCAAAATCTTATTAAATCAACATTTTAGAACTACAGAAAAGGCAGTGGCGGCTGGTGGATAAGTGCTGCAGTGCTGCAGAGCTCCCTAAAAAATATGCTAAATACATAATCTAATTCAAATATTTCCTATCACCAAAAAGAAAATGTATAATATTGTTACGCAGCATCCTGCAGTAGCCTGCGGCTATCATAGGAAACGTACAGATAGAAAAAGAAGTGGAATGTTACTCATCACTCTACAGTGTGCTGCGGTCACAGACTTTGATTTTCTTTTACTATACGGAAAATGGTCGCACTGCGCAGCTTTCTGAGTGCATTTTAGAAGGAGATAGAAAACTCCGCCATTTTGAACCCTTATTACGTGTTGCCTACATCTTGGCGCAATATTTTTAATAGGTGCGTTTTAATCATCCGCTTCTGCTTCGGAATTGTCGGTTTTCTTGTTTTAATCTGACAGGTTAGAACGACTGAACCGACAATTCCGGAAGCAGAAGCGGATGATTAAAACGCACCTGATATTTTGCTTGATGCTGTCAGTGTCAGTGAATATTATTTTTGGAGTCACAGTTTATTGCTAAAGAATCAGTTAGCTCACTCGGACCAGTTGAGAGTTCCAAAATAACATCCACTCCAGGGATTCAAATTCAGGATACGCAGAAGACTGCTGTTTTATTATAGGCGGTTGTCATATATTGTATTATCTGAGTTGCGCAGTGTATAAACTGGAACATTGAGATAAAAAGTGCCGTCGCAGAGTGAGCGATCTGATTCTTTAGCTATAAACTGTGTCATAGGGTTCAAAATGGCCGCGCCCTATGTTGGGCGTGTCGGACCTCTCTCTTGCCCCGTATAGTAACCAAAATATGTGGCTGCGGTCGTCATAAGTAAAAGTACAAGTAAAAGAAGGTCAAGAAAGCTATATAAGTCGACGACATGACGTCAGAGTTTAGTTTTATGATAAACGTTATACGTGAATGTTATCAGTTGTAAAGTTATTGTCAAAGTTGAATTATAGTCATAGTAATAGTTGAGTTCAAATAAATTGTGATACCAAAAACCAGCGTAACAATATTATATTTGCATTGTAACAATATTTAAAAGTAACTGCTAGCGAAGAGCTGGCATCGCTGGCAGCCGTGTACGTAAAGTCGACCAGTGCAAGAACCTACCTACCTACCCACATGCTTGCCCAGGCTGTCGCTGAACTATTATTTATCTGGATCACATGATGAAGCTCTGTACGCTCTTTCAAATATCCTCGCGACACCCCGCAACCCACATGCCCACGGTTAAAACAAACCGGTGATGCGGTGATTTAAGTGTAAAGTTCGCTGCAATTACTCCAGCGCCGGGCGTAATACGTATGGTGTCGATTTTTTCGAATTTTCTCGCGATTTTTGAGTTTACAGCGAGTTAAAGTTAAAAACAATAATTTTAAGGGTGCGTGTATTGTATTTTTGTGTATTGCTGACAATGATCTGTGTACTATGGAAGTGGTCTTCAATTTAATTAACGTAAAGAAATTTTTTAAATATATATACGAAGAAAAGATGGAATTAAAAACAAAAGGTAGGCCATTACCAGATTTAATTATAGAAAAAACAGGTGTAAGTAGAGGAAAAAGTTACACACAAAAATGTAATGAAGATATTTATTTAAAAAACGAATGGATCTGTGGATGCAACAAAAAAAACTGCTCTGTACTGTTTTCCTTGTTTACTTTTTGGTGGCCATAAAGCTTGGACGGAAATAGGGGTCACCAATATTGAACACTTTAGTTTAAAGATAAAAAACACGAAAACTCTAAAATCCATCTTTATAATTGCATGGAATTTGCGTTGCTAGGGACAACTAATCTTATAGCTCAATTAGATTTTGCTTATTGGTTAAATATACAGAGACATAATGAAATTGTGTCAAAGAATAGGTATATTTTATCCAAAATTATTAATTACATTAAGTTTTGTGGAGCTTTTGAACTGGCTCTTCGAAGACATGATGAGAGTAATTCTTTCGAGAATCCGGGGATATTTCATGGACTTATACATTTCTAGGTTGAATTAGATGCAACTTTAAGTGACCACCTAAAAATTCTTCGGTATTTAAAGGCACCTCTAAAGAAATACAGAACGATCTGTTGCAGTGTATACTCGATGTCTGTCATGAACAAATAATTGAGGAAATTAATATTTCTCCATTTTTGGAGATAATGGCGGACGAAACAACGGATATTACTGCAAAAACTCAATTGGTAGTTATATTTAGATATGTTCGCAATGGTGAGCTAATTGAATGTTTTTGGAACTACTTAATTCCTGAAAACTGTGATGCAGAAACAATTTTAACTGTTATAGATCCTTTAATTCAAAATTCACTGAGCAAATTGATTGCACAAAGTTATGATGGAGCCGCGGTGATGAGCGGCCAACACGCAGGAGTTCAAGCATTATTTTTATTAAAAAAAGTATTATTTTTCTCACTATGTACATTGCTATGTCCATGAGTTAAATTTAATTATGTCCAAAGCTGCTTCTGCAATTTCGCAAGTACGTGTATTTTTTGGAAATTTACAAGAAATTCCGGGCTTTTTTAATAATTCACCCCAGCAAGTAGAAGTCTTAAACAAGATCGTGAAGAGAAGAAGGACCATTAATGTTGTGTACGAAAATAGAGCCTCTCTCATTGAATGTATGCATGAAATAGAAGATCAATTCACCAACAACACAGTCTGTAGTGCAGCCGCCTCTATTCACCGTACATTAAATGATCCAATCTTCAATTTTTGGCTGACTTTTTTTCATCATATGATGCCCCACGTAGACTTCCTATTCAATCAACTACAGCAAAGAAAAATTGAACCCACTCTAGTAAAAGACGCTATCGATAATTTTGAACGCAGTATCACTCAAGTTCGAAATAATATTGATAGCATCATTACTGAAGCATTAGATATAATAAGTGACCAGCCACCAGAAAATAAACGCAAGCGCCCAAGTAACAACAGATTTGATCATTGGATTTCTGCTTTAGAGGTGTGTGACATTGTGTAAAAGATCGATTTGATTTTAAAGAGCATCTAGTAGTTGCTTTAGAGAGTATTGTGGTAAATTCCCCTAGGATAAAATCACTTCCGCCACACACTTAACAAAGAACGATTGCAAACTGTCTGTTAATTATTCAAGAAATGATTGCAGGACATTGAATGGCGCACTAGCTCTACTAACATTTTTAATATCAAACAATCTAGGAGATACGTTAAAGAAGACTAGAAAATTATTAGAAATTGTGGTAAGAACTCCTTTGATAACATCAGAGGCCGAACGATGTTTCTCAACACTAAATCGAATCAAAACGTTTGTCAGAAATTCAATGACCGAAAATCGTTTACCAACTCTTTCTATCTATTAAAAAAGTTTACTTCTGAAATAGACAATTTTAATGAAAAAGTTATTACAAAATTTGCGAACCAAAAAAAAACGTAGGATAGACTTAATTTATAAAAAATAAACTGTAAAATCGCACTATCTGTTTAAATTGTTCACATCATTTTTTAAACATTTTGTATTTTGTTTGAACAAAATGAAGTATAGTAAAATAGTGCTTGGTGATTATTTTTTTGTGTGGCAATTGTTCCAGCAATCCATTATTCAGCAAGCACGATAAAATCGATGGGACTTTAACTAAGAAGACAACCCCCCCTGAATGGTAAGCTTTTTTGCAAAATTGCCGAACAGCCTAAAATTTTTACCACGATCCGCCACTGAGACAGAGTAAAGTAAAAGTTGCTCCAGAAACATTCAAATTTCTTACCTGGTATCTATCCAGAGCTATAGCAGTAATCGAAATTGTTGAGACGTAGGTGCTGGTAGCTTGCAATATACCAATAAGTTTACAAATAAACAAATTGTTGCCAAGAGGAAAATATTTAGTCAATATTTCCATCAACGTCAACGGCATAGTAATTGTACACAGTAGGAGATCAGCAACTGCCAGATTGAATATAAACATGTTTCTAGGTGTTCTCATGGCTGGTTTTCTGACGACGGAGACAATCTGCAAAATAAAAACGGTTTTTAATGTCACAGTAGTCGACTTTAGTATTATTAACAATAACTAATTTTATAGATGTCATGTATATGTCATATTTAAGATTTCTTTTGTTTACCCAATAAAGCAATATTCTATTCATTATTAATTCAGATCTACTCGACATGGTGACAGAGTCTTGAAATAATTTTTTATGTAGTACACAAAACTGCTGTGCGAAACTCTACCAAATGCAGATATTTTTTATTAGCATCCCAATGCCTGACGAGTTCTAGAAATTCGCGTACTTCAATATCAATTATTTGAAGTATATAGTATATATACAACTGTTTAGTTTTTATATTCTTTGTTTTTTATCCGTTTAATTGTTTGTTATTTTTATTGTTCCTGGTTACGCCACTGTTTCCCTTTCCTCAACCGAGAGAAGTGAAGTTAAAGGAGAAAATTCATATTCGAACTTGTAACTTCAGCGCATCAGTTTATTGTAAAGTTTTAATTTTATAATATTAAAACAATACAGTCCATTTTAAACAAAGATATCTCTTTTAAATCCAACAGCAACATCTCACAAATATAACCTTTGAGCGAACGTGGTCAAATGGATAAGTTGTTGGATAGGAATTTCCATAAGAAGACATTTAATGGACAAGACAGGCCTTACAAAAGTTGCTCAAAGAAGATTGCTTGCAATTAGAATTAGGAATGGAGCAGCCAATAATTTTGAATTTTATTGAGATGTTGGGAAGAGTTTAAGAAGGCCGTGATGTTTATTACAAACAGCTTGTAGCATCAACCGCCTTCAAAATAAAAAAGACTAGCTTAACAGAGAATTTTACAATTAGGAAAAACCTGCTAATCTAAGGGGGGTTGGGACGATATTTGTATGGAGAATCCGCGTCAGCCGTTAATGTGATGTTGTCAGCATATAATAATACTCTATTGAATTTATTAATTGTCATTCTTATATTCAGAGATTCAAAAGCTTTCGAAAGATAAAAGAAAAGTGCGCCCACGTATATATTTTATCTAAAGAAGTGTGTATACAATTAAAAGGAGCAATAGCCTCACTTTTCGTTGATCTTCCTGGTAGAAAACTATTTTAAAGATCGGTTATTATATAGTTTTTGAGAAAATACAGCATTTGTTTATGAACACATTTTAAAATTATTTTATAAATAACCGTGTGGACGGTTATTGGACAGTACTGAAAAGTTCAAGATTGTTGAAAATTATTTCTCTGTTTTCCTTTGGATATAATTCAGTACCTGTTTTGGTATTAGCCCAAGGAGTAGTTCTTTTTCTAAAGCACACGGTCGCTCAGATTACTATATGACACTGGATTTGCGTTATTTTCATTTTTATATTAAAAAAAAATATTTTAGTAAAATCTAATGTGCATTTTAAACGCTTATTGCCTATTATTATTATTTAACTAAGTTTTAAAAATAAATTATGCTTTAAAAAATAAAAATAATACTAGCCCTGGATTTGACAATATCAAATATCCCATGCTCACACATTTACCTCCAGCAGTTAAAATACTACTTCTTGATATTTTTAATGATTTCCTATCACATGGAATAGATGAAGATAGCCTAAAGAAAGTAATTGTAGTTCCAATTTTGAAAAGTGGAAAAGATCCAAATTTGGCCCAATCATACCGGCCAATCTCACTTCTGTCTTGTGTGCTAAAAACCTTGGAGCGCATGATCAAGACTAGACTCGAATGGTGGTTAACTAAAGAAAAATTACTTTCAAGTAATCAGTTTGGATATAGAAAAGGATATGGAACGATGGATGCTCTACTCTGACAATAGACATTCAGAACAATTTCTCCCGAAATAACTATTTATCTACCCTTTTCATAGATATAGAAGGTGCCTATGATAGTGTAGATCTATCAATATTAAAGATTAAGATGATTGATGAGTGCAAAATTCCTTCTTCAATTGCTAATATCATTAGAAAATTTTATTCCAGCAGGTGTATATATATATAAGAGACAATGAAAATAATCTCCTAGGTCCTCGTTACACCAGCATTGGCCTACCACAGGGATCTGTTTTGAGTCCCCTACGTTTTAATATTTATACCGCCAGTTTACATAAAACTCGTTTCATTAATATACCGTTCAAAGTCATCCAATATGCAGACGATATATATATCTACACGGAAAAAAAGAAATGTGACTCTTCCCTTACATCCTTAAATACAATTGTCTAGTTTCCAGTCTTGGTGCCGTATTAATGGTTTTGAAATTTCTACCAACAAGACTGTTGTATGTATTTTCACCCGACACAATACACCTAATAACAATACAGTTAATTTAAAACAACAAGAATTTCCTTTACAAACACACGCTAAATATCTTGGAATGATCTTCGATAAAAAGCTCACGTGGAAACATTACATTGAATATGCGTTCAACAGGTGTCAAACAGGTCTAAATTTTCTAAAATCTATCTTAAAAGTTTGGTTAGGTGTCGATGGTAATACAGGTTTACTATTTTATAGATCCTACATTCGATCTATACTGGACTATGGGTGTATTTTGTATGGATCAGCCAACAATTCTTTACTGAAAAAGTTAGAAGTTTTTCAAAATTCTGTACTACGCACATGTTTAGGTGCTATGAAATCTACTAAAACTAAATCCCTTTATATCGAAGCTGTAGAGCTACCCATTAAATATAGAATAGAATACCTAAGTCAAAAATTTCTCGTTAAGCCATTCTTACATAACTCAACCTTATTTTCTGAAATTATTCAACTTAATACATATGATCTAACAAATAAATACTGGATGCATAAAAACTCACCGCCGTTATGTAAAGCTGTTCAAAATTGTGAGATAGCGTGAGATTCCCTAGGTTCTTTCGACCAATTCTTCATAACATCCGACTTTCCTTGTTTCTTTACTAAAGTCTTACTTAGACAACCCAATTATGATGAAAATCCTCATAATTGTTCAAATCTACTCCTTTGTAACCTAAATAACTTTCCTGAACATACTGTTATGTACACCGATGCATCCAAGTCAGACTTATGCACTGGTTGCGCCTACTACGTCCCGTCTCTGCATATTAGAGCTCTTTGCAAATTACCTGATAATTTTTCTAGTTACACTGCAGAAGCGATTGCGATACTAGAAGCTTTACAATTTGTAACAGAATCTAACACTAAAGCAGCTCTAATTGCTTCAGATTCTTTATCTGTTTTAAAATCGGCTGTAGCTCTGGATATTCCTAATTTTAATTCCAATCCATACATTTTCTTGATCAAAAAGGCATTGTTCCAACTAATTAAGAATAACGTAAATATATGCTTTATATGGGTAAAGGCTCATATTGGACTTAAACACAATGAATATGTTGATATGTTAGCCAAATCTGCAATAAAAAAAGGAACCAACACCATTCATAACATCTGTAGCCCAGATATTGCCGCCTTGATAAAATCCAACAATATGAGAAAATGGAGGCACGATTAGTCACAATCTTAGATAAAAGAGACCAGAGATATAACATACACCGGTTTTAAACCTGCGCAAATGTTGCCAATTTCTAAAGAAGGGTTAACGGAGTGGGGGAACTGGGCGGCGACACGCGGCGACCCGAACTCTGTGACAGGGACCGGACTTTGTTTATTAGCATCTTAATGAACTATTAGGTTTATTTAAAAGGTGTTTAATCGAATTTTGTATTATGAAATAAAATTAACGTGATTTTTTAATATCAAGCAGATGCCACGACATTTTATGTAAAGAAGACCTTTTATAGAATATTTCGTTAGCGTTTATTTACTACGGACTTTTCTGCAAGAGATTACAGTAAAATGTTAAAATAGAATATATTGTTAATAGAGCAAAAAATGTTACTCATTGTCTACGAGTATTATAAAAATAGCATGTGCGCAGGCTAATACTGCAAATCTACCCTTATGAGTTGAACATTATATTTTTTCTACGGCTATTACATATTATTAAAAATTAGTCAAAATGAGAAAATGTTGTTTTGTATTGTAACCTCAGAAAAAAGTATATTAAGGCTTCTTTCTTTAAAAATATTAATTATTATAAAGGATGAGTCACATAAAACTCTATAAATGCATATGTCTGAAACCAGATAACATTTTAAAATTTAAATCTATTAAAAGTCATTTGGTCGCTAGGGATGAGTGATTATCGAAATAAATTATCTCGATCATTGAAAATAATCGATTATTTTCGATCAATCGATTATTTTCAAACAATATATTTTTTGTCATTTCCTTTAAAATCGACTACTTGATTATCTTTGAAAAATCAAAAATAATCGATTAATTAAAAAGCCAATAGAGGACTTCTATACAAGGGAAGTGCAACCAACTTGACAAAATAAAATTGACACTAATGACATAAGAAATCGGGTCACATAAAAGAGACTGTTTTTTAGTTTGATTTTTAGTTTTTCCTATCTACTTTCATGCCATTTGCATACCTTGTTGTACCCGTAACGTGAAAAAGACTTTTTAGTTTAGGGTATTTTACATTTAAAGGTTGAAATATTTTGTCATTGTCAGCTGTCAATTACGTTGATGATAGAACACAGGCGTAACCATAGATGGGCATAACGTAATTAGTATTGTATGTTGGTTGTATATTTTATAGAACTTGTATTCGTAGCAGCAGCATTTTGCAATCGACATAAATAAATAAAACCAAATGAAAAATAATGTTTCAAAAAAGCAGGAGAAACACATTTAGACTAATAACAACAAAAAATAAAATGCAATGCTACGCTTATGATTTGACATTATCGACAGCTGATATTGAAAAATGTTTTCAACCTTTAAATGTAAAATACCCTAAAATAAAAAGTCTTTTTCACGTTACGGGTACAACAAGGTATGCAAATGGCATGAAAGTAGATAGGAAAAACCAAAAATCAAACTAAAAAACAGCCTCTTTATGTGATTATCGAGAATAATTGATTATTAAAAAGCTGATTATCCAATAAATCGATAAT